AGCGATCCACTGTATCAATGATGATGCAAATGTGTGGAATGTAGTCATTTTCGTGTCAAACGATCAATGGTATCGCTAAAGCGGACTGACTGATGGAGATTTTGTAATAAGGGTTTACGAACGGATGCATTTTGGTTGGTCGAATTCATAGGAAAAGCTCTGGTGTGTTTAATTAAACGAGTGCAAATTCGTAGGTTACATGTGTATAGAAAACTGATGAATGGATGGACCATGTTTCGGATGATTCCCGCCTACCCTGCCTTTAGTACCGTTTTTGTCACAAATCACCTTCCCTCCAAATCTGAGATTCAACTTCAACCAATTTTTGTGTTTTGATTTGGTGCTATTAGCTATCAGCAAATGATTACCGATATTCGTCACATATTTGTGATGCATTTGCGTATGCATGGCAAAGCAAATAAAAGGTGATATTGGGGTTCAAACAATTCATAAATAAGAGATTGTGCCAATTGAATAAGAATTGCAATGATCTAACCCTCTAATTGTAAATTTTTGGTTGGTGGGGTTTCAGCACTCAACCTGCTTTTAAAGCATGAAACGTCTCTGCTGATAAAAAAATTTTCATTTATCGCGTTTTAATGTTTTAGTGGTTTGCCTGGATCACAGAAGCTAAGGCCACCACCACCACCACCTCCCCTTGCACCAAATTATAGTCCCCAGGTATCAGTAAACGACGCTAGAAATCTTTCTGCCACAAACCCACAGTCCAATTCCGTCGGTAGTGTGCAGTATCAACAACAGCATTCTGCCTCTGTTCCGGTGACTACCTTCGACACTAGTAGTTTTCGTCGCACCTCTAGTGCATTGGCACCAAACGAAGAGAAAGGAATATCGACAACACCGTCAACGTTGTCATCAACTTCAACCCCACCTTTGTCATTCAGTGGAACTTCCACTGAGCATGAGCGCTCTAAGCCGTCACTTTCCGACTCAGAGATGCCTCGGCACGAAGACAGATCATCACGACCGACTTCATTGCCTGGGGATAAGGCAAGGGAACAAGAGAAGGAAGACGCAGAAGGTGAAGAATCTGAGAAT